ACCTAAGACATCTCAAAATAACCAAGTTTGTTACTCTGTACCATGAGCAGATTATTTGTTAGATTAATTGAGGCAAATTACTTACCTACTTTAGATTTAAGTAATGGACATTGGCAAACACCTCTTGAAGAAACTTTCAAAGAGAAAACAGTCTTTGCTATAGCCAAAGCATCATTTCAGTTTAGAAAAAATGCCTTTTGATTCTAACTGAGTACTTGTAACTTTCCAGAGACTTATCAACAAAATTCTCCCAGGCTGGGAAAAGCACTTTGAGATCTAGCTACTCAATATCATTATTTATAGAACTACCTGGAAAGAGCATGTGCAACAGTTATGGGATGTTCTTTACAGTCTTAAAGCAACAGGCTTAACCGTCAATCCAACTAAATATAACCTAGGATTTTCTGAACTGCATTACCTGGGTTATATTGTTGTTTAGCAAAAGGTTAGGCCAGAAGGAAAGAAAAGGGTTCAAGTTATCCAAAAGATGCAGCCTTTAACCACCAAGAAGGAAGTAAGATTGCTCCTGGGAACTGTAGGATAGTACAGACAATATATACCTCATTTTCCCACCAAAACAAAGCTCTCATAGATTTAAGTAGGAAGAGTAAACCTAATAAAGATCACTGGTCTCCCCCATGTGAAAAAGCTTTTCAAGACTAAAGACTGTTTTGTGTAGTTACCCTATGTTAAAAAGGCAGTATTTTAATCTTCCATTTGTTTACATGTTGATGCTTCTGATGGAGGGTTGGGAGTGGTGTTAATGCAAGAGTGTGAAGATGGGGAACATCTAATTCTTTATCTTCCCCCCCCCAAAAAAGTTCTTAGTTCTTACCCAGAGAAAGACTGTACAGCACCATGGAGAAAGAGGCCGATGCTCTAAAGTGGGCAGTGGAAAGTCTAAAGCATATGTGTCAAACTCAAGGCCCGTGGGCCACATCCGGCCCGGCGTGTAATTATATCCGGAACATGAGATCATTTTATATATTATTGTTATTAATGGCCCGGCGATATGAAGCACTGGTAACACAATAAACTACAGATCCCATAATGCAGCGCTTCAGCTGCCTTGCCA